TTACGTTTTAATTGCGATTTCTATTTCACGTCTAATATAGTTTAAAAAAAAAAATTGTTCGTATTCGCTAATTTTGTTTATTCAGTTCTATAGAGATTTTGTTCTTACCTCAATGAAGGTTTCTGGGATGATATTATAAATATGAGACATAGGTGGCGTTTGAAAGACTTTTAGTTCACAAATAAAAATGTATTTTTCGTATGTATTTTTTTATGAAATTCGTTTAATACCACCGGATAGAGTAGTTTCAATCACGTTTATACTAATCCCAATGTGTGCACTGGCAACCTGCGTACTAGACATTACATTCGTATCTATTTAGTATCTATGTAGGCAGCGGCTTGGCTCTGCCCCTGGCATTGCTGAAGTCCATGGGCGACGGTAACCACTCACCATCAGGTGGGCCGTATGCTCGTCTGCCTACAAGGGCAATAAAAAAAAAAAAAAATTAGAAATTCGATTTCGTAAATTCCACACGTTATATTAGACGCACCGGATTTCCACATCTCTGTTTAAATAGTCAATAACTTTATTAAAACTGGTCGTTGGTCTGGTTAATTTTGTAACGTTTCGTGTATTTTGTTAAATATTTAGTATTTTCGTTTTATCTCATGGGGTATTGAACAGAGAATCTCATCAGTTTCATAGAGAGTCCACTCTTTTTTTTTATATTACGTTATTGTAATGGCCCACCGGTTTTAAGACGTTACTGAGGCCTATAGACATCTCGATATAAATGCCGTCATCCGTCTTGGAACTTGAGGTGTAAGTGTCAATTATATGGTATAAAGGCTGTCCCACACTTGTAGCCGGAATTGCCAGAAGCCGGTGGCTTCGCATCAGAAAAAGGCACGCTCGCAAAAGTAGTGCGGGCTCATAAACGCCTTAGTACAAAATTGTATAACATTACGTATTATTTAAATTTTATTTTTGCGGATTTCATCTTTAAACCTCCGCGGCGATCCTTCGTCGTGGAAGTAATACGAGAACATGTGTAAGTATGGTACACATTCCATTTGAAAAGTTGATATGTGCCTGCCGTATTTGAACAGTGCCATCGCATCGCTAGCTACGATTAAATCCAGCGTTATATTCTTCAGGCCACCACAAATTTTGTAGGTCGTTTATGTTCTAGTTTTTTTGTACACATATGTTTGTCCAGTTAGCTCCATTTATTACTTGATCGTTAAGTTGTTGAGGATATTTATTGTTTCTTGTAAGGCTGCGTTAAATCTACATTACTATCGTATGTCTAGAAAAGAATATTGCGTGCGCTCACACAGTCAAACATGACATTAGTCAGTGGAAATACGTATATATATTTCACGTTTAACACTATTTATCGACGACGGAAACAAAAACGAAACAAGAACATACGTTCGCAGACCTTTAATACAAAATATCTTTCATTGAGATACGGAATCCGACAGCAAATGAAAGTCTGGTCCCGTGGCACAGTGTAATATGTATATTTGATTATAAATCGTATAGGTATCGTTGATAATTCACACGATATTGGTCAAAAGCTAAATGTTGTGTTTATTGTCGAACAGTTTGGTTATCGCCTTTGCGGTTTTATTGCAAAAGGCTTTTTTGGTCAGTTGTTAAGCAACTCTTTTAGTGAATTAAATATTTGTGTTCTATTTGATTCATAGTTGGTAGATGGTAAAAGTTATCACTTTAGTCACGGATGCATTGTTTTACAATACATTTGAGACTTAAACATCGAATCTCCAGCCTGGTGATAGATTGTGTCTACTGACTTACAAACACCCGTACAGTACATTTGGAATTTTCACTGACTTCCTGCTTAAAGTGTAGGTAAGTTTAGTTGGATGTGATTGAAGTATTTACCGAAAATAATGCAATAAAAATAAGATTATATTTAATCGTTTTCAATTTAACGTAGTTCAAAACGTAGAACGTGAAGTAGCCTATTTCTGCCGTGAAGCAGTAAAGCGTTTCGGCGTGAAGGGTGGTACAGCCGTTTTAACTATACTGAGACCTTAGAACTTATATTTCAAGGTGGGTGGCGCATTTACGTTGTAAATGTCTATGGGCTCCGGTAACCACTTAACCCCAGGTGGGCTGTGAGCTCGTCCATCCATTTAGCAATTAAAAAAAAGTATCTATTCGTAATAAGGAGTGTGTGTGTGCCGTTCTTTGTTAGAGTATCTCGGTGGTGGGACCGCGGGCGCACCAGAGACTGTAGGGGCGCACGATCGCTTCGGGCTTCGTCTCCGCCTCGCGTTTTGTTTCGAGTTGTGAAAAATGCGATGCGTTTTAAAGATTATTATTCCTTCGTATTCGGCTAAACGAATACTTCCGCGTACGTTTAGTTCACCGCTCTTAATTCATGATGATTACTCGTAGTTACATAACTTATTTAAGGACCAATATTATTCTGTCAATGAGTTTTTATTTTTTTTTATTTTTTATTGCTTAGATGGGTAGACGAGCTCACAGCCCTCCTGGTGTTAATTAGTTACTGGAGCCCATAGATATCTACAACGTAAATGCGCCACCCACCTTGAGACATAAGTTCTAAGGTCTCAGTATAGTTACAACGGCTGCCCCGCTCTTCAAACCGAAACGCATTACGGCTTCACGGCAGAAAATAGGCAGGGTGATGGTTGGTACCTACCCGCGCGGAATCACAAGAGGTCCCACCACCAGTAAAAAGTTTGTTCTAATTTAATAAAATGGTTACTAGATGTTGAGTGGTTAGTGGAGTCTATACTCACCGTAATGAGAACCACCCACGTTGTGACATTTGATATAAATGATATTATATATAATTATAATTCTATCGTTCCTGTTCTATTCCTAGACCGAAACACATGTTTGCTTCGTGGTAGAGATAGGCAGAATGGTGATATCTATCCGTTTAGTTTTATTCGAGGTTTTTCAAATATTTTGCCATACAGTACAAATCTTTCAAAAATAAGAGTAATACTGAGGAAAAATGTAGGTATGCTTCACGCAAAAAACTGTATTTACAATGAACATGTGGACCCAGTCGTCGTATCATCGACGCTAGCTATATTAAATAGAATATTATGCTTAATGAAATAACAGTAAGTAATTATTTTAATGTACGGATATCATATATATTTATTTCTATGTGCCCTGGAGGTTATTAGAATATTACATAGAAATTCGCTATACATATATAAATAAACTTTGATAAAAAATGCAATAACAGCACTAATTTTGAAAATTATTTCAGTAAAAGTCTTGGAATATTAACAGGTTATGAATACATTTTTTCTTAAAAAGAGTTTTCGTAATTAATAAGTATTAAGAACCGTAAGCAAGTTTTTTACTAACAGAGATCAACAATTGCATGCTTTGCATAATGCATTTTTACTAAGTAAAATGATAGATAGACTTTAAATTATTTTGAATTATTGTACAATCAGTTTACTTAAGTAATATGCTAAAGGACGAATGCCGGGTACTTGATAATAGTAAAACCGAAGCAATACCTCTCGTTATCATCAGTTCATAATCGTATAAGCAGATAACCATTGAAATAAGTAGTATCAACAGAATAAACTTCTTTTTTAATTAGACAAACGAATCTGCAAAAAAATAAAAAAATAGGATTGAATTTCCGCGCGCCGATAATGCTTAAATCACTCGTGTTTATTGGACTGACTCGTTTTCAATGATTAGGTATAGGTATTCGGGTTGTCGCGGAGCAGGCAAACACCCCGCGGCATGTTTATAATGAAACCAGACAGGTAAGAGTGGTGGCTTGGTCTTGCGACGTCACACCCTCTAGCGGCCTGCTACCTTACCTCAATACAGTAGCGGAATATCGCTACCGGATTTTACAACTGGTTCTATCGCACGGCAACCCGTGTTGAAACTGTGTCTTGTCAATTTATGGGCTCTCTGGAATTAATTTCGTTTTTCGTACGCGAACGCTTACGTTCAATTTCTGAAATGGTAATAAGCCTTGATCGTGTCATTCAATCAAAAATTGGAACTATTTAGTACGAAATCAGTATACTCGATAAGTACAATAAAACACTCAAATTCATTGCCTAGCAATTCGTTTGTTAAAATGCAATAAATTCATTTTGATATTAAATATAATTCTTTGAGACATTAATTTATGATTTCGTAGGCACGAATGAAAGACATTCTCTTCATAAAAAGGTTTTCTTCTGTTGAATAGGGCGCTAGGTGTAAAGTTGTCAAGATAGGTCGCCACCAGACGACTGCACCGGAGATGCATTCAAGAGATAAAAAATAATTGAAGTTGGACTTGGTCCGGTGGGTGCCCGCGGCGGTTCAAGCACTGCATCATTTAACAACTTTGCAAATGTCAATACTTTAGAGGCGTTTGTCAATGAAAAAAGACCATCAAGACAAAAATGCCATCTATGACGTCACAAATTGCACTGTAATCGCCGTAGCTTTTATTTTTTTGTACATAGCCATATTATTATGTATTATGTCATTAGAGATGCGACATTATTTTTTAGCATCAATTTTAATTAAGAATAAAACAATATTATAGTAATCGATTAATATCGATATCGATTATCGATCGGCGATTTGTAAATGTAAAAACAAAATACAATATCAACTTAAATTTCTAGAAAGATGCAACCAGTACTAGAACGTGATTATCCTCATTGGATTTCACATTTGCACGCCGGTATTTCGTTAAATTGTGGTTATGAGTTACTGATGCGGTGTTTCGTGAGAGCGCCGGCAGTAGGTCGCCGATTGCAGGATGCTCCCACGCTGGCGGATCACAAACTCGTGTCCACAGACTATAAACCTACAAAATACATTTATGCATTTTCAGGCTCTCAACATATATTGGTTAAAAAAAGTTAATACTATCATTTGGTATCAAAATTAAGAGTAAAACATTGGCTAGAGGTTTAGGCCTTATTTCTCGACGTTGTTGAGGACTTTTGGAGTTTGTGTGGGCTTCAATAACCATTTAACCCTAAAATAATGGCAATAATTTATTTCAGATGTTGCCAATTAAACCAGGAAGTCCCCAGCCCGATGGTAGCTCGATGGAAAAGAAGCCAATTCCCGGCATCCCTAGAGTAGCAGCGACTACGAAATATAACGCACCGGTACATATTGATGTCGGCGGAACTATCTACACATCTTCTCTGGAAACCCTAACTGCGTAAGTAAAAAAAAAAGTATTATATTAGAATATATTAGACAAAACTAAAGATGTATGCTATACAACTGTTTCCAGATGGTAGACTTGTGTCATTCAATATGTGCCATGTTTTTACTACATTGAAAACATTCTATATTCATATTTATGAAATATTATTGTATGGCTGCAGATGGGCAAACGCGCTCATCGCTCACCCGTTATTGAGTGATTACTAGACGTAAGCAATAGAAAGAAAAACGATTACTTTTAAGAATAAACTGAAATCTACATAATAATATGTATGAATGTTCCTTGAAGTAAATGAGTAAAAACGTGTCTTACAGAATTCCAAATTCAGTTTTTGTAGAGGTGCAGGAAGTATAGAGTTTATATAACTGTTCGACAGATGGCAGTGTACCAGCCTTTTAAATCGGGCCATGACATAAAGACGACTATTTTTATTAAAAAAATACGTCTAAATAAATATAATAAATACATGTAAATAAGTAGATAAGTGTCGCCGCAATACTTTTAAAGGTAACATTTGTTTCTTAGGAACTGTGCATTTTTCTGAATACAATGTACTCGTAGCCTTTTTTATAAAAACTTCATCTGTTTAAAGATACAATCGCGGTGATTTGCTGTTTTGGTGTAAAAAGCTAAGTGAAACAAAACTGTGCCAAATAAATCAAAAACACATTTTTTAATTCATAATTTAGACATAAAAATTTACTATTTACATCTTTTAACTCCGCTTGTTAGTATTTTATACGTCGTGCGAGATCAGGAAAAATATACCCCGACCCCAAATTACCATATATCTTTAATAATAACTCTGACTCCCATCGCGAACTCGGTCTTGTGATCATATTATTATTATTATTGGGGATCAAATAAAAATTCCTGAAAACAGTCAATCAAATAACTCTTTTGAAGGTTTGTTTTACATGACCCGTGGAGGATATCCTAAACTCAATTTAACTGTTATCTGACTGCAAACTAATTTTAATCAATACTCCGGAAATAAAATTAAAAAAATGTACCAAAGCGGAATTATAGATAGCAGTATTGTAGGCACAGATTATACCATGGAAAATACCAAATTTGAGATGAGAATGAAATGCTGTCGAATTTGAACCTTGAAGGTAAAACGTACGAATCGTTTTAAAATTTATGTCTCTAATGATTGCCTTATTATCTATATTAATATATAAATCTACAGTGGTTTTTACGGATGTTCCGTTATAACTACTGAACCATGCATCCGATTGACTTGAAACTTGGTGTTCATGTAGAAAATACATGTACTTAATGGATAGGCTAATATTTATATGAGTGTTGGACTCCTTACACCAGTTTTAGGGGTGTTCATGATGAGAATCTTTGTGGGGGTGAGAAATAATAATGTTAATTTTAAATGCCCAGCGAAGTGGACGGGTACAGCTAGGAGATTATATAATACGCTATATGAATGTGTGATTGGATTGTAAATAAGCTTGTTTTATCTACGCTCTGCGTGTTATTCCTCGATGGAGAGACCGCTAGTCGGGCCCAAGCGCCTACGGGCGGTGTAGCCGCAGGCTTTGCGGGACGTGCTGTGTTCCCAATACACCCGCACTCTTTTAATCATCTCGCTCGAGGGCACTAAAATATACACCCACCAATTGTTAACCTCGCCAGGCAGTTACGATTTTAATTATAGCAAACACCGTCTTTAAATGCGATTATGATTATTTAGACTCTTAAATCTCCATTTAGTTGTTGGGATTCAATACGAACTGAAAAATTCGACGTTTCACTTCCCTCAATTCGAATGGGAAATTTAATATCCTGTCAAGTTCGCACACAGACAAAATCGAGTCGAGTTATTGTGTATATAAAGAACGAATACGTATATTTACCCTATTTCTGGCTTCAATATTTTGTCAAAATGCGATAGACGTGGTAGTGTGTCCGCTATATAAACGTGTTAATGGCAATAGTGTGTCACGAGTACTAAAAAAATATATATATTTATTAATTAAAATCGTAACGAAACATTTTCAGTTATCCGGAGTCTCGCCTTGGCAAGATGTTCAACGGAACCATTCCCATCGTACTGGATACGCTGAAGCAGCATTATTTCATCGACAGGGACGGCGGCATGTTCCGTCACATTCTCAACTTTTTGCGTAATAAAAAACTATTACTGCCTACCGATTTCCCCGATATGGAACTCTTACTACACGAGGCACACTACTTCGAACTAGATCGTGAGTTGTTTTTGTTTTAATAATAATTTACACAATAAGTAGAGATCGTCAGTTTTGTTTTACCAAGCGTACAGTCGACTTTGCCTTATTTCACTTTAAATGTTAATAGAGTTACGATTTTGTTTTATACTCCGCCAAGATTTTATTCGATCTTCATACATAATCCTATCCACTCGTGTAGATTAGTGAAACAATACTGGCGCCCAACATGGGACGTTTAATAGTTAAGGTTACTTTAAATTGGGGACGCTATTTAAAAAAATACAGGTAAGCAATAGGATGAACATCGTTTTCCATGGGTAAATTACGATATTCGTTTAGATATGCGTAACACAGCGAATGATTTCTCGAATGTTCGAATCTTGCGCCAAATTAGAATTAAAGTAACGTGACTGTAAAAGTACCCGAGCAAACGGTCCTCCTAATCTGGGTAGTTACCGTCGCCCATGGGCATATGCAATGCCAGGGATACAGCGTAACTGCTGCTTACTGAAAGCCATATCTCCTTAGCTAATACTTATTTTTATGTTTTAAAATTTTGTTCGTTTTAGGTATAGCGGACTGCTGTAATATAATACAATTAGGTATATTTAAAGTTATGCATAAAGATGGAAATTTATTCTACGTTAATATTTTCAGTAAATGTTTATCATTGTTGTGTGTTGAAATCAATCCATCAGCTTTCCTAGTATATTAATGCGATAAATCACATCAAAGGTCAAATGAATTCATGTATCAATTTGGGTTAGTAAATAGCTTTTTGATCTCGATGATCTGATGTCAAAAGGCGCATTATTGCAATCGAGTTGATGAATTTCAAATGATGCGAAATGTTCTATTTGTGTACAGTAAAAGCTCCTAATTTGTGGGATTTATGTACCGTGAATATGGAAAAGCATGTTTAAAAAGGATATTCGAGTCGTCTATTATCAAAGGTGGCAATCTGTGCATTTGGACAAAAAAATGTTATCGATATGTCAATACAGATTGATTTGAATATAATCGTCTCCTTCAAAGAATACGGTTCAAAACCTGCATTAAATAAAGGTTAATACTTAACCTGTTATTTATCTAAGATATCGTTCAGAAGAGTTTTGTGACTGCCAATGGAATACAAAGTCAATAATTCGTTTTTCTGATTTACCAGTAATTGTCCAAAAGTCACATTGCCGGCTTTGATAATAGTCGACTCATTCGGTTGCAAACCTATATATTGGAATCCTTATTAATGTGTATGTACCAATCGATGTACCGATTAAATCTGCGAATACAGAAGTCTTTAGCCGCCAATGTAGGAATTGGGTCGCATTTTTTTAAATCGCGAATAGGGAAAACACGATTGAAAGAAGCGGAAATAAGGAGCTTTTACTGTAATTTTTATCAACGGAGCTTAATGTTTCGTATGACCAATCCTTAACATAAGCTATAAGCAGTATTCATTTGCTAAGTTTAAGTATATTTATTTATCTTTTTATCAATCATGAAATTCATAAATCTCCAACCCGCTGCACATAAGACTGAGGACTAGGCGCGACACCTAATTCTAATGATGCTATACTGCATACAGTACAACCTTGGATATTAACATAATATTTGGGTTATTAATCAGAATATATAGGGATTGACATCTTAGATTCTTTTATCTATATCTAGACTTAGACTCTTGTCCATATATTATGAAAGCAATATCCTTGCCTATTTTCATGCCTACCTCCCTAATTCTTGAAGTTGAATCTTGAATCTTTAGCTGTCGGACATATTGCAGAGTTTAAGAACCCTTAATGGCTTTTCCATTTAGCCTAAACTTTGATAGGGCCACGTCAGGTGGGCTAGAAGCTGATTTGTTCAATTAGTTTAGTTTTAATACGTAAACAAACCAACGACCTGCCTGGTGGTTTAAGTTACTGTTGGTCATGAATGGCCGGGGTACCACCAAGCCAAGCCAATCGACGACAACTCCGATGAAATAACAACGAAGAATAGTGCTAAGCACTGGAGTGGACTTCATACTACAGCGGAATACAGTTTATGGCAAAAATCTTGCACATTATCAAGTGGTAGGGATGAACTTTACTCCGGCTGCGGATGGTGTTATTTCGAAAATAGATTTTGGGGTTATATGAAAAAATCCTCAGAGCTCTCTGGTAGATTTTATTTTATCGTAGTTACTTTTTTTATATTATAATATTCTTATTCTGAATATCATGCTGTCAAGATCACGAACATTCTCATTCTTCTTTATTTCAGGAGCATTTTCATCACACTTCAGTTGGTTTTAGAGTAAAATTAATTTAGATTTTATTAAATACTTATCATTTCTTACTGATGTATGCAGGGCGAAATTATGTTCGTTGCTTTGCGAAGCCAAGTTTCATAGATATTCCTTCTGTTGCTAAATTAACGTTTTGAGTGGACTATAAGTGGTGGTAGTAAGCTAATATAAAAACATCACTTTTAGACTAGACACTACTAGAGTACAACATTTGATACCATTGGCTGCTCTGAACTCATTCGAATCCAGAATGTCCTGTTAGTCGAATAGCTGCGTCTTGTTCTAGATAGCTCTTATAGGAAGTTATTGACCGATGGCGAATAATTGAAAAAAAAAAAAATATAAAAAAAAAAAATAAAAAAAATGATTGAAAAAAAATATGAAAATAATTGAAAAATAATTCTTAATGATTTTTTCCGCAGTATTATTTATTGCGCTTGTAGGCAAGCATTCGGCCCCCCTGTAGATGAATGGTTACCATCGCCCGTGGACATCAGCAATGCTAGGGGGCGGAGCCAAGCCGCTACCTACCCTTACCATTTGTTTGGGTGCTCTTTAATTTAATTTTTTAATTTTTTATATTTATTTTTGATCTAATATTTATAGTAATTGGTATTTTTTACAATAAATGACATTTAATTACTATTTTAAGATCATATTAGGTATCTTTGGCCCATTGACCGCTGTTTTAAAATTTCTTAAGAATAGCATTAACAAACACTCATCAATATTCAGCAACTATGTTACAAGATCATTAAAACGATGCCCGTTTAATGTACTTCAGACATGGTGTTCGCTTTGTCGAAACTGAAACATGGGCGTGAGGGGGTGAAGCATGAGTGCGAGTGGTTGAGCGACGCCAGCGATCGCCTCAAGCAGGAGACCGAGCTCCTCATGCAGGAAAGAGACCGGCTGCAGCAACGATGGTCATGAATAGAGGTTATAGCTGCTTTTCTTCTAGCCTCACCCGTGACAGCCCTACTGTGCCTATTGAGTAGGGTTGCCACCTATATATTTTATCGATTACATTCAGTTGTATGCGTGGCAGCAATTCATTTTTAATCAATTTCGAGATCAATTACAAATACTGATTTAAGTACTTTGAACGCTAAGGTGTAGAATATATTTATTTAAAACGCATTGTTTCAAACTATATCGTTGTCACTGTAGCTGTAATTGTAGTGTTCAATGAAAATAATTCTATTCTATTGTAATCTATGTATTCATTTTACAGGAACCACAACGTTCGCAAGCGGTTAACGACTTCAAAAGGCGCCGCTTGTAATTACATCAGTTTCTGAGGGTAGTATACGAACTTGTAAAAATGGCGTAAAAAAAAATCGCCAATCTCTTTTCCAAAGTAGACTGTAGTATAGTCATTATTTAAGTCACTAGTTAGTTTCTTCATTCATTCCAAATTGTATGCTTTTGTTAACATAGTACTTATAATAAAAGAGTTGTTTTATAAGATAAATTTGATGTTATTGTAACAGCTCTCGATATATATCTTACGTTTTCGTGTTGCTATGATATCAGTGAATCTAACATAAAATCTTTATGAATATTTATTCAGTATAAATTTAACTTTAAGGTTAAATGAAAACTGACATCTTGCACCAGGACGCTCGCCTGGAGGGAACGGGGCAATAAACTAAACGGCGAGTAGGTACATCTCACGCCTTCGATTTGCAGGCGGCATAGACATAATCGTTGAATCGCTAGAGGATTTATCACCACGTCCTTACGGATTCATCAGATCCAATAACCCTTGCATTAGACACCTCTAGCTCTAACACTAGGAATAGGGACCCCGATAAACTCGTCGAGCTCGGCAAAGAGTTCGATATGCAGCCTAACCTAAACATCAGCCCGCTGAATTTCTCGCCGGATCTTCTAAGCGGGTCGCGATTCCGATCCAGTAGCAAATTCATTCGCGAAGAAGCTACTATGGAGTTGTTAGGTCTCCTTTGGAGTTAGCTGTTAGCAAATTCCACCCCTTCTGGCTGAGCCCTTGCTCGCCCATTTGCCCTGGTAAAACTAAAAAGGCCTCCGGGCCACCAGTAATCTCTCAAACATAAAAAAAAAAACAAAAAAAGGATTTATAGCATAAGTTAGACGGCCTGGCTGAAAACGACAATAATGAAAACGACATTAAACCATAGAAGAAGTTTTATTTAAAACTTTATCGAGAGCTGTTCGCCTTTTTTTATAGCTGACGTATGTACTCTGTAAAGTTTCAATTGTTTTTCTAAAATTTCCCACATCGTAAAAAAAAAAAAACGCATTTAGTACCTAAATAGCGTTCGTTTGTACGAACTCAACGGATATTGTATTTTTTCTCTCTATTAAATTGTAAATTAGAAAAAAATTATGTATGTAATTAGATTTGTTATACGAAATGCGTTATGGTCATTGATTTTGGGATTTTAACGATGTTGTTATAATAGTTTGTTATGTAAATTTTTTGTATGGTGACTTTGTTGTGCTGCTGAATTGTTTCAAGCCAAATCATTTATTATTAAATTTTTTATAGCACGTTATCCGTCTGGAGCATTTGAATTAATTTTTTTTGTATTTAGTTAAATAATTTACAATGAAATTGTTTGTAAACGGTCTTACATTGAATATTGCTTTATGGCTTTAGCATGAGGTTTCTAAAGCCGGCGGTACACACGCGGCTAACCTCTATAGCTCGGTCGCCGGCAGTGTGTTGTCGGCATTAAATCGATGCCGAGACAAAATATTGATAGATCGACCTCATCTAAGTAAACAAATTAGTAACAGAACACAACGTACATAACCTAAAAATGGCCAAATAATAATTTACGAATGCTATAACTGACAATGTATAATCATTTAATCGTCTTTACATTAGGCTTAATACATTTAAAATCTATGAAAAGGATATGTAATTTCAAATTCGACTAGTGTAATAATCAATGAATTATATAAATAAAACACTCATGTGGATATATTATTTATTTAATTACTAGACATAAATACAGATTAATAAGAAATAAAAAGAAACTTACACAGATAACAAGCTGGTGACAATAAGACTGTTATTAGCATGATCTTTGACAGCGTCGACAACTATGGACTGTGATCCTGTTTATGATATGACGACAGGAATTCCAGGCTTCGTTAACATAGATACATTGCATCAAGAAATCACAAAGTCGGAAGCGCCAATTTTTGTGAAGGTGAAATTTACCTTATAACCAGGCGTACAGGGTAAGGTTTCTTTTAAACATAATTCGAACAACCGACCCTGTCTGAACGCAGCTCAAACATCGCGATCCTAAGGCCTTGAACCAAAGTAGTTATGTGTGTTTTGAAATAAATATGTATTTAACAGGAAGTTTTACAAACATTGTCTAAATTGATTTTAGGTGCACCATTGTAACGCACTGAACGTCTTATGTTACTTACACGTTACGACACGCTATTCTATACCCGTCAAGGAGCTTTTACATTCACCGACACGATGACGACATATCGTCGACGTTGTGCTACTCTAACATCGTACATACATCGTGAGACTAGATGTTTTAAGTTTCCAAGAAATTAAACAGATTGGTGTAGTTATTTAATTCTACATGTTCCAAATCGTTTTTCATGTTCTGATTGATTGATTGATTTTTAGACTTCTAAACGACTTACAAAAAGAGTGAATTGAATATTCAATTTCGAAAAGGGCACATTTCAGAAAATGTAATATGTTCAGGAAATGAAAAAACACTGATTATTTATTCTAAAGCCGTGTATAATTTAAAATATTAACTTTTGAGAATATTTTAGTGTTAATTAGCAATTGAAAATTACTGGAATTATTATAAAATGGGTGTAGGTGAGCCTCAAAACTACATGTATATGAAAAAACGTATTTGACAAAATATGCGACATGTGCCCATTTCGAAATTGCATATTCAATTATATAGATACATTCGGTAATGCGACGGCGTTCTCTTTTTAAGTGTAGCTAACGTTTGTTTAAATTATGTATAAAAGTAACCTTCCTAATAATATTCGCCGGTCCGTATACGAGAAAGCGGCCCTGGATATGTTTTATCCAATAAACGATTGCTATTGTCAAAGTGCTGTTATCTATGCAGCCTGCCGACTTTAAAAGTGTATATAAAAAAAAACTAATCTATAGTAACTTCAGTCTGATTAGATTCAACAATTATATAAAAGTTTAATGCTGTTGGCAGAACATTCTACATTATTGGCATCAGAACTCTGCTCATGAATACAAAGTACGTCCCCTACGATCGTACATATGTTATCTCGATATTAATAGTCATCAATATACTACGTCTGACAGTATGAATGCGAATAATTTTATTTTCGTTATTTATAAATGTAAATATAATGAACGGTTGATTGAACTCTATGGATTTTTCAAGGTTTAGGCCTTTATCTTCAGTCGTATAAACATTTCTAGGGGTTTTAAAAACATATTAGTCATCTTTACCTTTGGCAATCTGGACATAGAAAAAAAAATATATTTTACTTTTTAAGCAAAATTAATAAAAAAGAATATGAAAAGAATCTTACGCTCATCGCTACAAGTACGCTTGGAGCATCTAACATCAATTAATATTAAGATAATATAACTACTACCAACAGATTATGGCATACTTATAGCTAAGAATCATTTGTTCATTTAATGTTACATGAAATTCTTCGTTTCCCCCTGTTCTATGATCGGTCACGGTGCGATACAATAAAGATCACTGAAGTTTTTAATAGCTACACATTAATATGATTTAACTGTAAAATTAATCAAAACTTAGCCTAAAATGTCGCGATGAAGCTTAGAGACAAACTAATAATACGTTCCACAGCATGATTTAAGTTTGTCACTGTATCATTAGTGCCAGAAACATGTGTAGAAAACAATTAATTACACTCGGACACAAATCACAAATTAACATATTTATGGAATATTCTGATAGCAAATTCCCTTAAGGGTACAGTAGTTAGCGAAAATTCTCAATCACTATCATAGTCCTATATCTTAACTGATATGGTTCTTGAGTGTTTGGCTCTGTAGCCAAGAGAGACATCTACCGGCGGTCGCTAACAAAGTTAGTACTAGATAGTGAGCTTAGCACAGAAAAAAGGTTTCGCCTAATAGGCTTAGTCTGATTTTTTCTGGTGATATCCTATATTAAGGATTATTACATTATAAACGTAATTTTTCATCGCGACAATACCTTAAAATTAATCCGTTCTCGTTTGACGTTCCAAAATCCATGCTTTTTAAAAACCAACCCTCAAAAATCCATCATCAGAAAATCTCAACAAAAACGCCTTCTTTGATCTTTGACAAAAGATCCTTCACTCAAAAGACTATATCTAGACAATAATTAATATGTATGTAGTATATAGGTATACATTGGAATAAAATTGATAATTTCGAAGTGTCTACGGAATTTGTGTACATATCGCTACATATTATGTCAAAACGTTAGTTAACATCTTTAATCATAATCAACATTTGTCGTATTGATCCGCAAATTTTAATCATGCATTGAGTATTTTGTATGTACATAAAAATAAAATAAACGGAAAAAGGATAATGGGACACTTATTTAAAAAATAACATGAAATGCTGAGCGACTTACACAATACTGTAAAGATGTAAATCCCAACAAATAAAATTTACTCAGTCTTACAAAACGTAAATTAAAAACCTAGGTTTAAAATTATCTTAAGTGTTTCAAGACTATTTGGTTTGCTTTGATTTTGTACGTGTCGTTTTCACAAAAGATACAAATAAAAAGACTAGGTTTGGTAGAGGACTTTGGTAGAGATTTTTTTTTTGAGATTTATACCTTAAAGTTTTTTTTAACTTTATTTTTTTTGTATTTAAAATATGAATTTTTGAATTTCTCCAAAGAAATATTATATATTTAGGAATATTATTTTAAGCTCATGTGGCGAACCACGTTTTAATTTTCTAATTTGTCCAATAGTATTTAAGTTAGGTTAGTTAACAAAGAAATATAAATTTATGATTCCAATAAAAGTTGTACGTAACTGATAATAAAATCCTTAAATAAAAAATAAAACTACAAAAACGTATCTAAAGTTCAGATGATGACAAAAAAATGTTAAACCATCATAATGGATAAGTTAAATTAAATGAATTCACCAGTCTGTAATGTCAGTGAACATAATAATACTCGTATAAGTTACATAAATGATGATATTCAGAGACAAAAAATACGTGAAGTACATCCTACAATTATTTCGGAAAATATTGAGAAACCTATTTAGAAGGTTCGTGAAACTAGAATGGAAATTTCAAATCAGCAATAATGTTTCAATGGTAGTTACACAAAGATATATTAATTCGCATTGCAGCCTAATGAAATTGATTGCATTTTCTTTTTGATATTATTCCAATAACTTACTATGAAACTTTAGACGTAATTATCTACTCTCCATTGGGTAAACCTCACGACACATAGACATTTATATTAGAAAGGTTTAAAAGGTTTATATTTATTGTTGTTGGTTTTTCTGTTCCTCTTCTATTTTGCCAAGAATTTCTTGAACCTCGGATGAAATCTGAAAAAATAAATACGTTTTCAACATTTCAAAAAAGCTCACTCTTTGATTAGACATTTTAATAAAGTTCGTGTACCCACCAACAATTCCGGGAAACTAGGATCGATGGTTTGCTCCAAGGATTTAATGGCCGTTTCAATCTGAGTGTTCAGAGCTGAAAAAACAGGAGTTTAATTATCGATTATTTTCAGATTATTTTGGGCGAAAGTGGGTAACATTTTGTAATTTGATTGAGGCAAGTGAAAGTACGCAAAAGAGGCTTTTATCAAATTATGACACTACACACACGTGTACTAGTACTATACTATATTTGTAAAAAAAATTACTTACTGACATCGTCCAAGAAACTTTCGAGACACGCAAATTCACTGGAGAAGTCGTTCTCAGCAACGATATTGGGGTTAGATATTTTCTTGTTACTTGAAGCTACTTCAGAAAAGTTATTTGGACGCTTCATGCCAATTTTGTTGAGGTCAGATTCCAGGTTCGCAGCAGAATTTTTGTTGGCTTGTTGGAAAGCTTCGTTTAAATCTTGCTCAGAATCGATTACCAAATGGTATTTAATTTGAGTAGGACTCTGTATTCCCTGTGGCTCGTCAATTAATTCAGGAAATATGAAGTCATCCAATGTAATCTCATTTTCCTGTACATTTAAGTAATCATGATATGTTACGTCAGGTGAAGTAGCCGTCAATCCAAATTCGGGATTATATTGTTCGACGGCCACTGCTTCGGAAAACATTAAATTGTTAGATGTGACATTTAGCTGCCCTTCTTCAAAGTAGTTTGGTTCCACTTGGCACAAAGCGGTCGATGTCGACGGCATATCGAAAATTTCAAACGTGTTCGATTCATCAATTTCTTGGATACGAGAAGAATTCTCAGTCGCAAATAATGGCTGGTTTATCATATTAATATCCAAAATAGCATCTTGTGGTTCATCCACTGTCCAAGTTGGCGTCTGCTGTACTGGAGGGGTATTACCCATCATGTTTTTGAAAATGGTGTAAATTTTTTCCACCCCACTTACAATACGCTCTTTCTTTGGTGGAATTATGCTCAAGTTATGAGATGGAGAAGCAGGATTATTTTGTTTCAAAGCTATGCCTGGCTTTGATGTTGGCAAATCTGTGACCATATGTAACACGACGTTCACAAGCTGCTTGGGATCTTCGACTGGAACCAATTGATTTGAAGTACCCTGAAAGGTTTCAGTTACATTCTTTAATTCAAACGTTAGTGTTGAAATTGTTTTACTGACCTTGTTATTTAGTTTAAAATGATTAAAACTTAAAACTTACCTCATCATATTTGAGGAGTTTGTCATTCGTTTTTGTCAATAAGGCGATCCTTTTTTTCATCATTTTGATCAAACGCTTTCCCTCCTCTTCTCCAATAACGGTGTTTGTGCAAACAAAAGTGGTTACGGCCTTAGAGTCTTTTTCAATATCAAGATGGCCACGTGTCCTCATGTAAATGAATTGACCATTTTTGGTGATCAGACGGTAACAGGACTCTCCGAACAATCGATGTTGATCATACACTAAAAACAAATGTTACGCTTAAAAACACAGCGATTATTTAAAACGTTTCCTTATATATTCCATTTAGATTAATTTCGACTTCCATTGAAACATTAAAAAAAAATGTATGTTAAGTGTTTTTAAGCGACGAATTCTCTTAATGTATTCAATTCGCTTTGCCTTAAAGTAAGTTATTTTAAATTATTTTGTAAATGTTCTAAGATAAATGATATTTTTTAAGTACAGTAAAGCTTAGTAAAGTTAAAGTAATTGTTAACTATTAAAATCGCTTTGATATACAAAGTAATATGTTGTTTCGAAATCCAATCGTAAACTGTTAAAGTTTAATTAATATAAAGCAATGAAAATGTCATACATCTCATTTTTACAACATCAAGTCATTTCGAAATAATTAAATAAAAAAATTAATAGATAAATACTGCTGTTTTCAAAGGATTTGATTTGATTTGAACCCTAGGAAAAATTATAGGCTTATCTTTCATCTCACTGCCGAGCAGAAGGGATGTCTACCCAACCAATTAAAAGTGCAGTTCAAGCAGGCGAAGTTTTATATATCCATATATCTAAACATGAAGCAGTGAGCTTATGGAATTCTCGAAAATAAAGTCGCATTTGAATAGTTTTTTTTAATTTGTTACTGACGACCCGTCCACCCATCCTGTTTTTTAGATTGTATGTATCTATTAGTTCTCGAATTTGTCGGATTATATTTATTTGATGCGTTCGTTTAGCTTCCTGAACAGATTTTGTTAAACAAATATATACATGTACGAGTATATGTAAAAATAATATTGTCTTTAAGCAATTGACATTTCCTTGATGAAATAAAGATTGATTTTGATCATTCTCATTGCTGTAGATTTTAAATTAAATTAAACTCAGTTATTGCTATCAATTATCTTAGATTCCTTCTTGTTAGTAAAGTTACAATTTAATTTCATTTAAAAGAATTCGCGTAATGCTTGGATAATTTTCGCTTGTAGGAAGACTGTGTAGACACGCTGACTGCAATTCACTGCATGCATAGAAATGTATCAAATAAAACGACTTGAGAATATACTTATTCTAATTTGACAATTAATATTTGGGATCACCCGGAAGTAACAAGTCGGAAGCCGACTGAGGAGTTTTCTGTAGGTGAAGTTTTCTGAAACCTAAATATATTAGATTTCTAATATGTGAGTTAGAAAAAATACGTGATTTGTTCGTTGTACTTGATCGCCTTTTAGATAAGTAGTTTTAATTGTACTAAGACTTTGACCTGTGATCCTGAATTCGACGGAATTGAATGATACATGCTTAGATAAGACTATCTCATTTTAAGATTAATAAATATCTTGAAATAACTTTCTTGTTCAACGAAAAAGTAGCAGAAGATCCGAAATGACTTTGGCCGGTTTTTATATCAAACCTTCGATTTCTTGCATTAGTTAATACCAGCCGGACTTACTATCTCGTAGAGCTGTGGCGACCCAGCGCACGTCATCGCGATGCATAAAATTCATGGCATTAACGCCCTTGACTTCGTGGGTCATATAGCCGGTGACCAACGAGATACGCTGTTCGCATTGGACGATCTGCCCATCGACAGAGTGGCGAGTGCGGTACTCCATACAAAACGATTCCATTCGGCTCTCTGAATGGAAGGTTTCGACTGACGGACGCACGACGCCAATGAACACCTGAAATTTACAGGTAAAAAAATGTACTACCAAAAACAATGTTGTTTAAAAAAGATGTGGTGTCGTGGGACACCAGGTAGGAACGAAGTTCCTTCGGCTAATGTAGAATCGACACAATTTGCAAAAAAAATATCGTGCTCAATTTTATGTAAGTTTTCTTGATTTTTCTCTTAAATTTTGCTGATTAGTTTTTATTTAAGTACAGGAAAGTATTTAGGAAATTGATTTTTTTAGGAAATAATAAATTACGTAAAATAAAAAAAAAAATCGTAATTCAAATTATCAATTAAAATTAAAATAACAAAATATGTCCCTTTATTTTTGTTTGACAACATAAAATTACATAGAAATAGAAATAATTACAAAATATACACTACTCGCTTGTGTATAAGACGGCCGCGCCTGCGCACGTCTCATTTAACGGTTTTATTCCACGGACTTTTTCTTACGGTTTTACTATCACATTTTTTACAGTTCGGTCGCGCAGCAAAATCCCTATCTCTTCCAAGCCTGTCGTAAGGAACTTCGATCCAAAAATTAATTAAAAAAGCACTTCAACAAAACTTACTATATCGTTTCCGCTGCATTCAGGAGCTTCGCCACGTGTACGAGAGCGACGCACCACCTGACAACAGCGGCTAAGTGTGTGGTTGGCACCGTCCGCCTTCCTGAATGAGCCTTCGATGTGGCACATTACATACTGCGCTGGTTCGGAACGTGGTCCCTGCTTCTTCAACCTGCATGTAATATGACGACTTCGAATTTTCCGTAAATTCTAAACTCGAACAATTTATTAAGCAAGAACTAGTTAGGGTGTGAAACGAAATTATAAGTTTGAGTTTAAAATTACAGTGTTTAGTAATTAAATACTTTTACAGTTTAATTTCGCGTTTTCAATCATCATATTTATATTATATTATATCTGAAATTTCTTATAATCATGGTTGTCGTCGGTTTTCATAGTTCCGAAAATATTATAACGTCAAAAAAAAAAAGACGTGTGGCACTCGGAGACTGCCGCGGTAAAGCTATTGCATAGCATTTTTTATCAACTTATGCAATTATAAATCGACAATAATAATTTAATATGAAAACAACAATAAAATAAGATCCGGCGAGAAACTCAGTGGGCTAACTTTCAATGAATCTGCTACATTGTGAGTATTCCATTTTGACTGCGCACTCACTAGAGGGCGCTACATGGGATAGAGACACGCCTTTGGATGCTAGTTCTAATTCTCATTCGTCCAGAATCAACGGTTTAGCTAGTTTATTTTTAATGCCATTCCAATCACTGAATGAGTAGTAGGAGTAGTAACAAAATTCTTCGACTAAGCGATAGAAAATGGCACGCCCAACGCATTGTAATGTGATATAATTTTCTATTTTACAATTCCGTTTGTCGCCGATAGATGGCGCTTGACGCAAAAGCTGAATCGCGCTATCGTTGTGTTACCCACGAAATTATATCACATATTTTGATAGTACATAAATCGGTGCTTAGACTTCTTACTATAAACACTACACAAGCGCAACGTGTGAATGTGTTGAACGCGAGCTACATAGTAGGCGTAGTGAGGGGTGGAAGGTTTTTTTCGTTACGGAATTTCACGATTCCTTTCTCAAGCCGCGCTCAAGGCCCGCGATGAAATCTATGCAATAGCTTAAAAAAAAACGTGAAATTAAAACGTAAAAGTGGTCGAGTGAAAACTGAATATACTTAATTATTTAATAAATAAAATATTGAAAAAATGTAATAGTAAAAAAGACCATATAAAAATTCATACAGTATATGTCTAATTCGGGAGTGTTCATAACAAATTTGGCCTTCTTTTTTACCTGATGGTGAAGCTTCTTTTTTCTCGACGTAACCCCTCAACAACTTTGTAAACACCATCGGGCTCATTTGGAATCAACAGCTCTCCGTTTGGTCCTAAAACTTGGCTTCTTGGCTTCAGCTTCTCAAGCAGCATTTGGCGATCTCTCGGATGAGTCAGATTCACCAGGTTCTGCCCCAGGAGGTCAAGCTGAATGCATAAAGAAATGGTGTTTCAATGGCATCAATGTTGGTCTCTTGGTTATTAAACGATTGTGCCAAAATTATATTGAAGTTAATTGAATATTTTAATGCTTCAAATAACAGTTTTCATGAAAACGTTACATTACTAAAATTAACAATACGCTTCTCACCTCGGGGAAACCCAAGTATTGGTGTACATTTTTTGACACCACGACAATTATGCCTCTATATGTAGTAGTAATCAAAAATCCGTTGAATAATTTCAGCACTGCGTCGGTGAACTCCGGGTTGAAATCGGGATTCGTATGCACCATTTTGTTGCAGAAAACTACGAAAAACAATAAAAATTACCGACATCGAAATTAAATTATTTTCTGTTAGTTTTATGATATTTTTGATTATATTAAAAGGTTGATTTAATTTTTTTTTATGTATTTAATTCTTACTTGCTATAAACATAAAGCGTAGTATTTTTTTCACTATAATTTATATCTTAAATATATTATTATCTATGTCCTAAAATAATATTTTAAATAGAATACGAACATTTTGACATAGTTCAATTATAAATTATGATTTCTATTTTATTTTTTCTTTTTTTTTCTTTATTACTTTTTAAATAGTTAATAGTATATTAATAGTGTATAATACTGTTTATAATACTATAATATAATATATTACTATAATACTACAATATACTATAATACTACTGATATTGATACGAGTACATACTTACTTTTTCCTCTATGATACTAAGTGTCTAAAATTAGGGATATTGCAAACTTGTCTATATAAAAATAAGCATGCCACATTTTAGACTAATTAATACTAAGTAATACTGTAGTGCTATATAGATATATATATATTATTGTCGCGTTTTTTTCCGGATGACGGTATAGCTATTGTCTGGGTAGCCTTTTCTGCTTCACCAAGATGGTCTGACCTGTATTATGGCTGGTTCTAGTTTTAGAACCAAAACAGTCTAACAGCCCTGAGACTGGATTAGGCCCATCCATCGTCAACAGTAGTCGACTGCTATTTGAGCCGGGAAGATACTTAGTGGTGGTCACGATAAGAGGGTTATCGTGTAGCGAAATGACGTTCAGACGTCGACTTCATAAATTTACTGTCGCTCGAGACCTAGATCGTCATGTCGATCCACAATCATAATCGGCTACAACAAATTCATTCGATACGGTTCTTTATTTATGTTCTATTATTTATCTTATATTCCGTAGACAACAAAAACGTAAATGAAACCATCCACCTTGAGATATGAGGTCTAAATCTCAGTTCTATAGCATAAAGGTTGTATCCACCCTTCAAGTCGGAAGGAATTAATGATTCGCACCATAAATAAGCCGGGTACTTACCCGTATGGGCTCACAAGACGCCCTTCCGCTAGTAATTAGGCAAATTATATTTTATGCTGATTAAATTTTTTTATACGTTGCTATTCCATCATCGTGGAAGTGATTCGAAAGTAAATGTTGTGATAGGGACTTCGTGTCTCCTTGTGGGCGGTGTAGTTCAGATAGCGGTGTTCCGATAGCCACTTAATACGACCTACCTACTTCGAAAATTAAAAAAAAAGTTATCTTTATAGCAATTTAGATTTTTTGCTACGCAAATATCTAGTTGACTCATTCTGTTTATAATTCGAGACATGCAGTAATATGCAACGCGGTGCGAGTTATCTAAGTGCATAAGGTTATGATCAAAACATGCACAGATATATAGGTCAGTGTAGTTTGTACAAATTTGAAAAACGAAATAGAGTATTTATGAATTCAAACATCAACCATGCTAACGTTGTATTTTTTTTTTGTTTACCTTGTGTTGATATTTAAAAAAAATCTTATTATAATTAATAATTGTTTGAGGATGGAGAAGTCATGTTCCTGCTCACGCAGAAATGACACAAATCTGAGCCACAGCTAAGAATAGATCTGCACTTTGCGCTAGTATAATACGTACGTACTTATGTCTAAATGCAGTTTTGTTGCTATTGCAACAATCATACAAATTAATTCCTTTTAAACCATACAATATTCGTTAGGCGGCGGCCGTAAATTAATTTATTTGAATGGCATGTCAGAATTCATCACTGAATATTACTTTATAAAATATTACTCGGAATGTATCGCATAAAATTTCTATGACATACCGCTTGAAAACCGTAGTTTTTTTTACAAAAAATAATCTGCACAGCTGAATAAAATAATTGCTGTTTCATACTGAATTTATAAAGGTGCCATTAAACGCCTATCATCAGATTATTAAGAATGCAAGTATTTCACACCTACATTTAACATTTGTAATCATTCTTGGATTCTTGATATAATATGTGTATCATATAAAATGAATATGCTAATTTTATGAATCATTTAATCCGAGCAACGAGTCATCGCTTTTAAGGCGCATTTCTGTTATGTATACAATGTATACTTAGTCTGGCCATAAATACTGTTACAATTAAAAATAAACAAAATATTACATATGAATTTGGAATCTGTCATTTTTATATGATTGCTCATTGAATTTTCTCATTTTGGCGCCAATACATTGTACAATATTTTGCGATATTAAAATGGAGTGGGGTGATAAAGAGAACCGAATCGCTGTGATTGCATTACACAAAGTAGGTATGGAGCCAAATGCAATTTTTAAAACTCTCCATACGCTTGGTATTAGTAAAATGTTTGTGTACCGGGCTATTAATAGGTGCAATGAGACCTCTGTTTGTGACAGAAAAAGATCTGGCCGTCCACGTAGTGTTCGTACGAAAAAGGTAGTCAAAGCAGTAAGGGAAAGAATTCGAAGAAATCCTCTCCGAAAGCAAAAGATTTTATCTCGGGAGATCAAGATAGCACCTAGAACCATGTCGCATATTTTAAAAGATGGCTTAGGACTTGCAGCCTATAAGAGACGTACTGGTCATTTCTTAATTGATAATTTAAAAGAGAATAGGATGGTAAAATCGAAACAACTACTGAAGCGGTACGCAAAGGGAGGTCATAGAAAAATTTTGTTTACACATGAGAAATTTTTTACAATTGAGCAGCATTTTAACAAACAAAATGACCGTATTTATGCTCAAAACTCTAAGGAAGCTTTCCAATTAGTCGACAGAGTGCAGCGTGGGCACTATCCGACTTCAGTGATGGTTTGGTGGGGTATTAGCTATGAAGGAGTGACTGAGCCATACTTTTGTGAAAAAGGTATCAAAACATCGGCACACGTGTATCAAGATACCATTCTTAAGAAGGTAGTGAAGCCCCTTAACAACACCATGTTCAATAATCAAGAATGGTCCTTCCAGCAAGACTCGGCGCCAGGTCATAAAGCTCGGTCTACGCAGTCTTGGCTGGAAACGAACGTTTCGGACTTCATCAGAGCTGAAGACTGGCCGTCGTCTAGTCCCGATCTTAATCCGCTGGATTATGATTTATGGTCAGTTTTAGAGAGTACGGCTTGCTCTAAACGCCATGATAATTTGGAGTCCATAAAACAATCCGTACGATTGGCAGTGAAAATGTTTCCCATCGAAAGAGTGCGTGCTTCTATTGATAACTGGCCTCAACGTTTAAAGGACTGTATTGCAGCCAATGGAGACAACTTCGAATAAGCTTTTTATAGTTTAAATTGTTTTATATTTTTGTATTAAACTAACACACTCTAAAAGTAATAAATGTTATTTGCAATAGAAATTTTATTTTTTCCTTTGTAACAGTATTTATGGCAAGACTAGGTATATTGAAGGCTTTTTCTCTACTGTTAAATCAGATTATTTTTTGGATTTTCGTTAGCCAAGCTAAATAATTTTATGATTTCATGCCGTCTATATCTTTTTAATTCATTGAGACATATCCCTTAAACAATTAAACTAGTCTTCTAACAAACCGAGAAGTAGTCACGTACATATGTATCAGTATCTTTAGCGTATCAAAGTTATGTCCGCGTACGTAGAATATGACATACCATCAAGAATATGATATGATACAATGTATATGCACCTGCATTCTTGATAATCCTACTACGAAAGATTCACTATTTGTATTCAACGCCGCTCCTGGATGTGGTGTTCGTCGTTTTTGCCGGATAAATGTAGCATCGTTGCGCGTAATTAGTGTGGATGGAGTTAGCGTTCCGACAAATAACAATTACATTGTGGAATGTGGCGAAACTAGAAAATATTTACAAATTGAAACATAGAACTACATTAATATCAACTGCGCCACAGTGTGTACGTTTCTTGTTCAGAAGGCGTCAAACAGATGCTGTATCGATAGCTGGGTAATATTTGAACGAGAACATAGTTTCGCTATTGTTTACAAACATGACTAGTATTTCCAATATAACCTCGGAAAATTTAACCGTACATTTTATTCAATGACGATAAAAATATAATTTTTTTTATTTTTCAGATACACCTAATGTACCTGATTTAAGTTGTTTTTTTTTGTCCGTCTATATTGTGTTAATGCGTTCAAGCATCACCCCAAAACTGCTGGACAGTTTTTTAATATGTTGTTTGAAACTAATCATTACTTACCAATAATAATTATATCGAACGAAATTAGAACAATAAGCTATCAATTTAAAGCAAAAATCGTTGGTAAACGCTCCCCTTATGTGCTATGTTCCGTACAATGCAAAATGTATTTTTTTTATCGAATTACTAGAACTGTATACATATTTAAAAATAAAGCCATATTTATAAATAGTAAATTCTAGTTTGTGTGTGTGTGTGTGAAATGGCGAATACGTAATAAACACTAGCTGCAAAGTGATTTGGTACTTAACTGTGAACTTTGTCTGAAATAGACGTTACATTATTTTTAGCACATTTTCTTGCCCTTTTTAATATCCGAATTAACTTACGTTTTAAAATATAACGCATTTATTATTCAGTGATAGAAATAGGTAAGTCTATAGTACATTGTGCACCAAGGGAGAAAAGTAGTACATTTCCTCCCGCGTGTAAAATTCGCATGGCAAACACGTGGGATGAGATGTCCTACTTTTTTCACGCGGTGCACATACTATATTTTCTCCTACCAGGCCGAAAGTTCGTGGAGTACCGAGCCGGGGTCCAGGGGCGGAGCCCTGGCGGGGGTAGGGAGGCCGGAGCCCCCCATATACTCATAAAAAAACAATTTATCTGTTTTTTAATTTTTAAATAAACTACTACTAATTGAATAAAAACTGTCTGATGAACTCATCTTTGTTTAATACTTCACTATTAAATTTTATTGCCTTTTGTTTATTTCACTTTTACACTAAACACAATACTGCAAATTACCCGAGCACAACAATGACGGAGAA